ATCATCATCATCATCATCATCATCATCGATACCATCATCATCGATAACATCAACCAATACCAGCATGGATACCATTATGAGAAACATCATAATCGATACCATCATGATCGATACCATCATCATCGATACCGTGACCAGACCCGGTGCAGATTTCACCTGCTAAGCAAAACTTGTTTCTACTCACGGATGCAGGAGGTTCTGTCGTTAAGGTCAAGGTCAAAGTTCTCCAGGCATTCACAGGCGAAGGAGCCGGCGGTGTTTCTGCACAACTGCTGGCAGCCGTTAAGGCTTGTCTGGCGACACTCGTCGATGTCTGGCGGGGCCGAGTGGGACAGAAAAACAAAACATCAGCAACTGAGCTCTCTTGGTTTTGTTTTAGTGGTTTTACAGAAAAGCCTGATTCCCTGTTAAGACTTCTCTGTTGGCATCCAATCCTTATGCAATTGCGAGTGCCGTAAAGCCTTACTAAAATAAACAAGATCCCCAAAGATACTCTATGATTTCTACTTCCCTCCGTGGTCCTCGAAATTAGGCCTCATGCTCCAAGTGAAAAGCCCCCCCCCCCACCCCACAATCGCCAGTATCTTCCACAGCCTAGGGTGAGCACACTAACCCCCCGCCCCTCCCCCAAAATGTCAAATAGCTGCTGACTGCGAGCTAGTCTGCATGTAGTTAAAGTCCTCAACCATCATCAGTCCGAAATAGGCATTTTCTCTCTCTGTATCTAAACCATAGATGTACACTATACTCACTATAGTTTAAAAGGAGATAACTCTATGATCTAAACCCATATAAGCAAAATCGCTGCATGCGAAATGAAATGTCTCCGCAAAACCCTTAACATCACAGGACGAGACAGGCAAAGAAATGAAGAAGTAAGAGCAGCTATCAGCACTGAGTCCTGTCTGCATTACATAGACAGACAGAGAATAAAATGGTTTGGCCACCTGTTACGTATGTCACCTGGCCAGCCAGCCTTGAGAGCCTACACTCGGGCTATAAAGAAAGAGGTGTAAAAGGTGGATCGAGGGTGTCAAAGAAACCCTGAGAAAACATAATATCACAACTGAAAGAACAGTGGAGCCTGCCTACCGTAGAAAACTGCATCTCCCCTTTGTTTTAGTTATATCTTGTAAGAGTTTTACGGCACTTGCAACACAATAAGGTCATATAAGTGCCGAAGATTAGAGGTGTTACAAGAGAATAACAAACATTAAAAAGAAGGAGGGGAGATAGGGACGATAGATTTTTTTTATAGAGAAATAGGAGCAAACCACACCAGAGCACCCATAAACCACCCACTTGTTTTAGTTAGAGTTTTACGACATTTGCAACGCAGAAAGGTTATACTAATATATAAGTGTCGAAGGTTACAGGTGTTATAAGGGAGTAACAAACATAAAGAAAGAAGAAGAGTTCAGGACGATAGATGCTCGATGGGAAAGAAGGAGCAAACCACACTAGAACACCAGCCAACCACCCATTGTATCTCTCCTCGACGCTTAACGGCAACATAGGATAAACAAGTCAAAGTAAAAGGCAGAAAAGTATCAGCTGTAGTGTCAAACTTTCTCATGAGCATCCCGGATACAAACTTGTCCCCGCCCTCCTCCTCCTCCCTCCCTTTTCCTCCTCCCTCCCTCCCTCTCCCCTCCTCCCTTTTCCTCCTCCCTCCCTCCCTC